CTCTATTGAAATAATTGCGATACAGAATCATTCTTGAAGCCTTTAGAGTTCTACTGAATTTTAATACTGAATTAGTTTGGATTTTGAATTACTTCTGCCTGCCTTCAGTTTATTTTTGTATTTATTACTGTAGCAAATCGGTTCTGATAATGAATCAGTTCTAATACTGAGTTATTTCTGACCAAATCTAGTCAATCAGTTCTGTACTGAATTAATGCTGTATTGCTGTTCTGACTCAGTTCTGATACCAAATTAATTTTAATACTGACTCAGTTCTGAAGACCCTTATTCCTGCTTTGTAGGTATGACATTGGATCAATTATGTATGGTTTTAGTGAATCAATTATGATACTGGAATACAGTTTTGCACGGCTCTACTGAACTGGTTCTTATATTGAACCAGTTCTGTATGGCTCTACTCATTCAGTTATGATACTGAATCAGTACTCTATGGCTATACTGAATCAGATACAATGAATCAGTTCTATATGGCTATACTGAATCACTTATGATACTGAATCAGTACTGTATGGCTATACTGAATCAGTACTGTATGGCTATACTGAATCAGTACTGTATGGCTATACTGAATCAGTACTGTATGGCTATACTGAATCAGTACTGTATGGCTATACTGAATCAGTACTATATGGCTATACTGAATCAGTACTGTATGGCTATACTGAATCAGATACAATGAATCAGATCTATATGGCTATACTGAATCACTTATGATACTGAATCAGTACTGTATGGCTATACTGAATCAGTTATGATATTGAATCAGTACTGTATGGCTATACTGAATCAGTACTGTATGGCTATATTGAATCAGTTATGATATTGAATCAGTACTGAATGGCTCTAGTGAATCAGTAATGATACTGAATCAGTTCTAAACGGCTATACTGAATTAATTATAATACTGATGTTCTTTGGGCCTTGATTCGTGTAGTTATGTACAGATTTTCCAGTCTAAAGCCTTTGACTAGTTTGCTTCTGCAAGCCTGAAGCTCACACACACACACACACACACACACACACACACACACACACACACAGCCGGGCAGATACACAGAAACTAAAGCGCAATCACAAAATCTGCTGGACTCGGTGTCAGCTATCAGCGTCCCGTCCTGTTTTCTCTGTTCCGAAGTCTAAAACCATCGTCCACTCCTGTAGAAACACGGGCGCTCTGACTACTGCTGTCTGTCTCGATCACCTCTAAGCCCTCCATCGGTCTCTCTGGTCAACACTCCATACTGTAATCACAGCCTTAAAGACGAGCTGCAGAGAGGGAGAAGAGAATTGATCGCTACAGACGAGACATGAAAGCCTGGTTACACCACAGATTACTAGAGAGAGAGAGAGAGAGAGAGAGAGAGATGGAGAGAAGAAGAAGAGCGGCTGTGCGCGGTGGGTAGCTTCAGTACAGCTGCACAACCAAACCAATCAATAGAGCCCATTGTACGCAGGAGCATGTGGTCGAGAGAGAATGAGAAATAGCTCAAAAGAACGGACGAGTGGAAGGAGGAGAGGCTGGAAGACAAGCGGGGGGGTATCTGTGAGAGGATCTACATTCTCGCTGCCTCGGAAAGAACTAAAGTCTTACAAGCACGAGGGATGAAATAACATTTAATATCTGAGGAATTCATTCCACGAAAGATTTTTCAACGTCAAATAAATCGTACGTCGTTTCAGTGACAAACGGAACGCTGGTAATTACGGCAAGTAGAGCGTTCTTTCCGTCTTTTCTCAGACCACACAGTAGGGACAGTAGTGCAGCTGCAAATCCCACATTTATATGTATATATGAAGGTGCACGCTGTAATGCATTATCGTTTCTATAGTAACAGCTTATATACTATAGTAGTCTTGGACAGCCATGATTCATAGAAACTGACTTTTTGTTCATTTTGATGAATAAAATCACTGGAAAATGCCTCTCTTTCTTTCAATGCTGCTCTCTCTTTGTCTTCTATTTCCTTCTAACTTTTCCTTTGTTCATCCGCTGACTTTTTTTCATTTCTTTCTTTCCATTTTATTCTCTCTTTTCTTTTCCTCAATCTTTCTGTACTTTCTTTCATTTAATCGTTTTCCATCTCTACTGACCTGCATTTAGTTATTTTCTTTTCCTCTCTCTCTTTTTCCTCTCTTTTACTTTCTTTTTTTTCTTTCACTTTCTCATCCACTCTCTTACTCTTCTTTCTTTCTTAACTCTCTTTGTTTAAACTTTTATTTACTCACTCTCTTTTACTCTCAGGTTTAGGAAACAAATAGAGGAGAAGAAGAAGAAGAAGAAGAAGAAGAAGAAGAAGAAAGGTGACCCCAGAAACTTCCCGTCACTCTATCAGTGTACAGGAATGTATGGAGCATTCATCCATCAGTTCATAACTCTCTCCCTCCCTCTCTCCCTCTCTCTCTCTCTCTCTCTCTCACTCTCTCTCCTTCTCACACACACACACACACACACACACACACACACACACACACACACACACACACACACACACACACACACACACACACACCACACACACACACACACACACACACACACACACACACAATCCTTCTCTGTACAGGAGCCAAAAGCACTTTACCTGTCAGGTCATTAAACACACAGAAAAAAACTTGCAAGTGGATCTAACCCACATCTCTCTCACACACACACTATTACAAAAATATACCCTGTCTCACTTTTTTACACACACACACAAGGTTAAAGCACTTTGCCTTTGACCAAACCCAGTGAGTGGAGAGTGAAAGTACTATTTATAGAGATAAGAGCATTTCACACACACACACACACACTCTTTTACACTATTTCTTTTTTGCTCACTGTCCTCGTATGTTTGCTCTCTTTTCCGCTCTCTCTCCATTACACTCACATTTCCCCGCTCTTTCTTTCTATACCTTTGACTCTCTCTAACTTTATCTTCCTCTTTTTTCTTTTAGTGTCTCATTTACACAGACTCATTTGTCCTCTCTTTCTTTTGCATGCTCTTTCTCTCTCTCACACGCTTTTCTTCCATCTCACTATCTCCCTCTCTATTTTACCCTTACTTTCTCTCGCCCCCCCCCCTTCTCTCTCTCAGGCATATATAACGCTCTGCTCTTTACCTGTGCTGTTGTGAGGAAACCTGTAACGACATTAAGCTGGCGTGTGCTGCTGTATTTCTCCCTGATGGATGAGCGAGGCCGTGGTCGCAGAAGACGACGTGGTCCTTTTGCCTCAGTCTCATTTATTATTATTTTTTTTTTTACCCTCCGTCAACCTGGCCGTGACCTTTACAGAGCACGTCCACTTAAAAATATTAGCCCTCTTTTCCACTGTAGGGCCGAGCGGTCGCAGCGGTGAGCTGTGGCAGCCTCATCCCTTATTTTCCATCTGCTGTGTTGTTAAACAAGTGCTAAATACTAACAAATGCTGCTAAAGTGATGTACGGCTCAAAAAAAAACCTAACTCGCACTCGCACGTACACACACTCACAGATATAGACAAAATCTCTGTGCAAAGTCAAATCTGTTTAAATAGAACACTATCAGACCTCGTAAGCAATCACAGCCGACAATGAGAACAAAAATACACTCTCTCTTGCGCTCTCGGTTTCCCTCTTTCCTTCTCTCTCTGTTCTGTCTCTCTGTCCAGTTCCTGCCGGTTGGCTGCTGCCGGTCAATAGCACAGACAGGCCTGACAATTTATCATTTCTGAACTCTCATTTTTCACCTATTGACGACGTGTTTCTCCATTTATTCGTGCTGCATTAAAGCTGCGGGGCCCAGACGCCTGAAACAGACACGCAGTCAGCTATCGGCCTCTCTCTCTCTCTCTCTCACACACACTCACATACACACACACACACATGAGAGTGAGTGAGAGAGATCAAAACAGTCAGGCAGGCACATTAAACAACAGTAATTTCATATATAATTAGCTGAAATCACGAGTCGTGAACGCTGTATAGAATCTAGACGCATCAAGAATGGGTTCATAATCGCGACCTGAATCATAATGGATTGTAAATTGAATTGTAAAGGCCCTAAAGATTACCACTTCTAATACAAACTCAAATCCTTCCGCGTCAGACTCCTCGTCCAAGAAATATTCGATTAATCTGTATTCGAGTTTAACTTGAACGGTAAAAGACGGCACCAGGCGAGTAGACGAGAACGCGAACGCCACCTAAGATGCATTCTGAGAAACAGTCATTGTCAGGATCGCTAGTGCTAATCTACTAATACCATCAGCACTATTACAAAAACGCCCGAGCAGCAGTTTCCCGCAGTCTCAGCGTCCAGGGGCCGACGGCTGCTCTTAACAGGATTAAAAGCCAAAGGGACAGACAAAGAGCATGCAAAACCCATCGAGCTAAATGCTAACGGGGGCTCACAAAAACGTTATTTAAACTGCACTTGGACCAAGAAGGATCTTTTCCTTTTCATTAGCATGATTTGTTTAAGTTTCGCCGCCGCTACTACCGTTTTTGGAGCCATCCAATGAGTTTTGCGTCAACTTATGCCATCTTCCTGTTGGTGGACAATAGCGCTCAGACTCTCAGTCATCAGCCATCTTGGGTCACAACTGCTTGGAGTGTTGCATTATGCTTTCTCAGACCACAAGAACAAAGAATTCTTTTTTCTTTTTGACGATGGACGATTTATTCTTGCCCGTTTTCTCCCAAATTTGGTCCAGTTCCCACCCAGCTGTGTCAGAGGGCAACGTAACACACTCAGGCTGCGTCCAAATATCCCAACTACCCTACCGTACAGTAGGTGAGAAGCAGAATGCCAAAGGATTAGCACATTCGAATTCTCAGTATTCAAAAAAACAGTAGATGAGAGATACCTGGATAAAATTTACTTATTTTAAAAAAAACAAAACATTTTAATGGGATTTGGCAGACGCCCTTATCCAGAGTGACTTACATTTATCTCATTTATACATCTGAGCAGTTGAGGGTTAAGGGCTTCACTCAAGGGCCCAACAGTGACAGCTTTGGCAGTGCTGGGATGTGAACTCAACATCTTCTGATCAGTAGTCCGATGTCTTAACCATCGAGCTACCACTGCCACATTTGCTGGATTTTTTTGTGGAAATACCTACTGCTTCCGCCTTGATTCTGCACTACGGAACCACTGGACGCTGCGCTATCCCACAAGGTAACGGGACTGGCTTAGAAGAGCAGTCAGGATGACAGAAATGGCTCAAGGCGGCACGTTGTTCCTTGTGGTTAAACCGTACTTGTTTAACATCTGAAGAAACAGTTAACTTGCTGAATGTTTAAACAAGAAAAAAAAACAAAAAACAGTTGAGGTGCAGGTGCTCTAATCTGTCTGGCTCTTTACATTTTTGTGGTTACAGTATAAAGACATCATAGGTCACATGACAATGCCAGCATGGTGGATTTAGCATGTTCGGATTGTACTCGTACTACACACACACATACGGATGAGGACGTATTGTAGGAATGGCCGAGCAGTAGGTACTGAATCGAACGCAGTACGTACGGTCACAGATTAATGGATATCTGCCCCCTCTTCCGCATACACGAGCTCACAGACGCCTGTGATTGGACACGAACACAGAATTAACAGTACAGTTTCTATAGCCAGGTTTGAAGAAGTTAGCTTCTTTATTTTATTTATTTATTTATTTAACTAGCGCTAGCTAGTAAATGTATGTAACAAGTAATCGAGGTGAATGAAAACTGTTCTGTGGTGTAGGACACGTTGTGACTCACCGTGATCTATAAATATTATCATATGATGGCCATCTTGGACAACCAAAATCTTTTCTTTAAAATGATGTATATGGTTTAACAATGCTGTTTGAAGCAAGCGTACACCTTTGTGGAAATAAATTTATGGAAAAGATTTTGGCAGAGCTTGAATTGTTCTCTTGGCTTTTGTGTAGATGATACACGTCTGTGTGTGTTTGAGGCCGACGTGGCACAGAAGCACACAGACAGTCTATGAAACAGCAATAAAGTAGATACATGGGTGTGCTTTCGGGCCCAGGTTGATGTGTGTGTGTGTGTGTGTGTGTGTGTGTGTGTGTTCTCTCCCTATGAACTGTTCACACACACAGCAGCCCCTGCACGGTGGATTTGGTATCAATCATAGCTGAAGGTGACACACGGCGTGACAAAGTTGCACCAGCGTGGATCACCTCACACCTCTTCACGCCTCCAAACACACACACACACACAAATGAGCGATGGTGACACGAAGCGGAACCACAGGCCATCAGAGTAGCACTAGGAGGAGGGAGCTGTCATTATTTTCACAGTTATAACAGTTTATTCTGCCAATAGAGAGACACTAGCAGTGCACAGCTATACACACACACACACACACACACACACATTTGCTAAATCTTTGTGTCTGTCTGTGACTAAAATCCCTCTCAGAAATCCTGTCAGGAGAGTGAATATTAGCTAGTATGCTAGCATTAACACTCAGGTCGTTTATGAAAATTACTTGAAAATCCTGTCAGGTTAGAGCATATTAGTGCACATTAGCAGTGAAAATATGAACATTTATGAAAATTCATTGACAGTCATCTAAAAGATCCTGTCAGATTAGTGAATATCAGTTACTATACTAGCATTAACAGTGAAGATTATCAATATTTATGAAAATGACTCTCAGAAATCTAGGCTAGTGTATATTAGTAGCTAGTATGCTAACATTAGCAGTGAAGATTAGGAAAGTTTTTTTTTTAATATGACTAATCCTCTCAAATGTCCTGTCAGGTTAACTGATCTTAGCTAGTAGGCTAGAATTAGCAATGAAGATAAGGACTGTTTATGAAATTTATTTCAAAATCCACTCAAAAAACAACAACAAAAAACAGGTTAGAATTATCAAACAGGATTAAAAACATTTAAGGACATTAATTACATCTTAGAAATCCGGTGAGATTAGTGAATGTTAGCTGGTATGCTAGCATTAGCACTAAGGTTTAGGAACATTATGACTTTAAAATCCTCTCAGAAATCCTGTCCGGTTAGTGCACATTAGTTAGTGTGCTATCGTTAGCAAAGATTAATCTGAAAGATTATTAATATTTATTTAAAAAAATTAAAAATCCGGTCAGGTTAGCATGTTAGCCACTTAATTCCTTTTTTCTACTTGAAAACCTCCATATATAGATATATGTGTGTGTGTGTGTGTGTGTGTGTGTGTGTGTGTGTGTGTGTGTGTGTGCATCATGCTGAGGTAATGATGGTGGTCTGGATGTCATGGGAGGTCATTAGGGCAACGCCTTCCTCCCATTCTCTCTCATTTCACCTTCCATCCTTTTGCTCTTTTTTCTTGCACCCCATGTATGTATGTGTGTGTGTGTGTGTGTGTGTGTGTGTGTGTGTGTATGTATGTATGTGTGTGTGTGTGTGTGTGTGTGTGTGTTCCTTGCCTTCCTTAACCCCCTCAGGCTAAAGAAATGACATTGCTATCTGAGGAATTTCACACGTTTTACACCTAACGAGGCTATTATCCCAACCAAACACACACACACACTATCCCTCCCCTCCCTTGTGTCGCTGCCCCCCTTCATTGTTGTTTAAAACAACTTTGCCTTGGACAAATTTTCAACTGTTCATAGTCAACATGATAATACCCACAATCCTTCACTCCTTTCAACCGGTGACTAGACACCGTGCTCATGTCTTCATCACCATCTCCAGGATCGTTACGCTCAACACGTTCTGTCCAGTAAACAATCACTCAATATATGACAAAAGTAAACACAGCCAACGTTTCGGCAAGTTCAGTGTTTTACACGTTCGTCTGTATTCCTTGACACTCATAATAATACAGAAATGACTCGCCTAGTTAGTATCAACTAACTCATTAAATGAATTAACCAATAATCAAGAATGTCTCGAAATTTCTTTTTTTTTTTTTTTAATTCCAAGCTCCGAAGAATCTCACGGCGCTTGAGTAGTTTTGCATTCATTTCTGCTTTTGCAAAATCATGAAATCCTGGAGAGACTGGCGAGTTATCCTGGATGGAGTAGGGCCGTAGTGGGAGTGAAGCAAGTGAGTTTTTATTTTAATTGCCTTGTTGTTTTTGTTTTTAATCCCTCGCTCCTCCAGGGCAGATAGCAGCCGATCATCCAGAACAACGTACTGGGTAAGAGCTGTTCATTTCACTCACCTAGCGTTGGCTGTAGACATTCTTTTCACTTATCTTTTCCGCTAGCAATGAACGTCTTGATGAAGTTTTTATTTTTTCCTTGTCTGATCATTAGTACGTCAGTGTAAGCCAGGTTTATGTCACATTTGGCATCACACGGTACTGGATGTTAATATCGGAGCATTTTTACGAGAAAATGAAATAAAAACTTTAAAAACGGATACCATTATTGGTGCTGATGCAGAGCTACTTTGCATAATTGTAAAAAATCACCATAACTACAAATAATCATCATCATCAATTATTCAATAATTGATATCACCATAACTGTATAAATCAAAATAGAACATATCAACTAATACATGCAGAATTATACTATCTATATACATATCTAATATGGAAAGGTTCACAGTATTAGCACTGGGGGGGACAAACTTTTGCCTTATTATGGACGAATATAATTAGCATAAATCTTCTTCCTCGCACTGTCACTGCAATACAGCAGAAATGCTCCTACCTGCAGTGATGTCATCGTCAGTGACGTCCATCTCTTCCTCTGGAGCTTTGGGTTCTGTGGGCGGGGCTTCGACTGGGGGAGGAGTCGGCTGGGCTGCCTCTGGAGCGGTTCCAGCTGCAACACACACGTATCAGAGTTAACCTAGCCGTCTCCATGACCTGATCAGAAAGGACAAACGTCTCTCTCGTAATGTCACTAATTCTTCCTCGTTTGCTTGTCGCCTCGTTAACGACCTCATCAGGCCTTATTGTTTTGCATTATTGGCCGCTTTATTAGCCCGTGAGCTCTCGCCATTACACTCCTTTTTACTCACTGCAATCGTTTAGCCCTTATCCCGGAATTACCAATTAAAAATACTCTTTTCATTAAGACACGAGATGAATCGATGCTGCTTAAAGGTGAGGAACGGCTCATCTAGGCTTGGCGCTAATTAATGGAGAGAGAGAGAGAGAGAGAGAGAGAGAGAGAGAGAGGGAGACAGAAGAATTAAAACAGAGAAAGAAAGAGGAAAAATGATCTAGGTTTAGAGAGAGTGAAACAAAAAGACAGACCGACAGACAGACATATGGCCGAGAGAGAGAGAAAGAAAGAGAGGGAGACCAAGAATTCAAGACAGAGAGAAAGGGGGAGAAACAAAGATTTAGGATTAGAGAGAGAGAGGGGAGCCATTTGACCCAGAGAGACAGACAGAGAGAAAGAAAGAGGGAGGAAGGAAGGAAGAAAGAAAGACAGAGGGATACAGAAAAATCAAAACAGAGAGAGAAAAAATAATGCAGGGTTTGAGACAGACAGACAGACAGACTGAGTGACAGAAAGAGAGAGAGAGAGAAAGAAAGACACAGATGGACAGAAAATGACCTAGGGTTAGAGAGGGAGAGACAAAGAGAAATAATGGAAGACAAAAACATAACCAGAGAAAGAGAAAAAGAAAAACAGATACATCCACCCATCCATCCATCTTCTACCGCTCATTCCTGCTTCAGGGTCGCGGGGAACCTGGAGCCTATCCCAGGAAGCATCGGGCACAAGGTGGGGTGAGAGAGAGAGTGTGCAAGACAGACAGACAGAGGGCCAAAGAAAAAACAAACAAAAGAAAGAAAACAAAGATGGACACAAAATGAGAGGGAGAAAGGGAAATAAAAAGAGACACACAGAAAATGTTGCAGGGAGAGAGAGAGAGACATGCTCATGTTCTTTATAGCCATATCCACATCATTCCTTCAATTACATTTGATGAAGTGCAAGTGTGCACATTACAGCGAGTGTGTGAGTGTGTGTGTGTGTGTGTGATGTATCCCTGTGTCTCTGTGAACAAGCGCCTTTATGTTTCAATTAACCTCCCTATTGACCACTGACATATTTAAAGAGGAGCACGTTTCCCCTCTCCTCCTGCTCTCTCTCTCTCTCTCTCTCT